CGGCACTGCGTTCACGCTCAGCGCGCGCTTACGCAGTTCCGCGTTCAACCCCTCCTGGTACAATAGGGAAACTGAGGCCAGGAGAGAGGCAGGGACTGGCCCGGGGCTCACGCGGTGGGCAGAATCCAGAGGCGCAGGGAGGGTTCCAGCCTCCTAGGCCAGCCTCCGTTCGCCCGTGGGGTTTCCTTTGGGAAGGAGAACCCCCAAGATGCTGGGGGAACCCTGTTCACCCCTCCCCTGTGGGGCCCTTCCTCCGGGCATCCCCACGTGGGCACAGGCACACGCACACACAGTGACTTCACAGGTGGGCCATGGAGTGTGTCAGAGGAGGGCGCAGGTGGCAGGGGCGAGCAGGAGGCTGGAGGCAGCCCCGCCATCAGGCAGGAGCCTCAGGTCTCCTAGCATCACGTCTGGGGCCCATACACGGGGAGGGGAGCGATGCAGGCTGATGGCCAGGGGTCCCAAAGGTGCCCAGGGCCTGCCGGGGCTGGGCCATGGAGAGGGCAGCAGGGAGAGGACTTGGAGCCCTTCGTCCTCCGCTCAGGGCTCCTGGAACTAGGAGGAGACCCCCTCCCTACTATGGGGGGCTACAGGAGAAAAGGCCTTAGTCTCTTTCTCTATAAGTTGGGGTGCACAGAGGGTGCCCTAGAAGAGTCTGTGTTTCCCCTGGCTCTCCATCCGTGACCCCTGTGCTCCGCGTCCGCGGAAAATGCTTTCTACTCCCGTGAGGTCCTCTGCGCAGCCTGGGGGTTGAGGGTCCTGGGGCCTGGGTAGCAGAGCATGGCCGAGCACTGGACTGTTCCTCTGGGGACCAAGGACAAGGCCATCCTTGCAGGAGCCGTGGGGTCTTCATTTGGAAGTGGGTCCGGAGTTACTGGCTGGGGTGAGGCGGCCTCGTGAATGAACTAGACACCAGGACAGTGGGCGGAAAGAGGGGAGCGAGAGAGGATCCTGGGGTCCCCAGCATTGCTCCTGGAGCTCGCAGGTCCTGTCCCTCAGCCCTCTGGTGACAGGGAGAGCAGCTGCCTTGACTACGTCCAAACAAAGGTGTGTGTTTTGTTTTCTGGTTTCCTTGCCTGGGGCTGCAGGGCCGGGGATGACCACCAGGGGGCGGGCTGTGCCCACTGTGCTCAGTGGAGCCTCCGGAGCAGGGAAGGGACACCCAGGGGTCATTCTGGGCATCCGGCTGCCTCGGACACAGCTGCACCTTTTATTATTGGTCTCCATGTCCAGTGTGAGCTGCTCAGAGGCGGGAGGGGCTCTGAGGCCCTCTCATTATTCAGTTTCTGCGCCCCCAGCACTCACCCTGAGCAGGAGCCTCATGGTCCCTGCCCTCCCGGAGCGCAAGCCTGGAAGGGCAGAGGGACAAAAGCACAAGAGCAAATCCTTGTGGGAGAGAAGAGCAGTGCTGCGGGGACAGGAAGCGGGTGCGGAGGGAGGGCGGGACCCGAGGTGGGCCTAACGGCCTCCAGGGTGACATTTATGCTGTGACCCCAAAGACGAGAGGAGCCCGCCCTGCACAGGTCTGGGAACAGTGTGTGGCTGGGGGGAGGGGGAGCTCACGGTGCGGAGACTCTGAGAAGCTGCCCCGTGGTCAGGGTTGGTTCGAGGAGGTGCAATGCTGAGGATGATGTGTGTGTGTGTGTGTGGGGAGAGCAGAGGTGGGCTCAGTGGGGCTGCTTTAAAAAGTACCACAAATGGGGTGGCTCAAAACTGAAGTGCCCGGCTGGCGCGGCTCAGTGGTTGAGCGTCGACCTATGAACCAGGAGGTCACGGTTCGATTCCCGGTCAGGGCACAGGCCCGGGTTGCAGGCTCGATCCCCAGTGTGGGGAGGTGCAGTAGGCGGTCGATCGATGATTCTCTCTCATCACTGATGTTTCTGTCCCTCTCTCCCTCTCCCTTCCTCTCTGAAATTAATTGCAAAAAAGAAAAAAACAGAAGTTTCTTCTCTCTCAATTCTGGAGCCAGAAACCCAACGTCAGGGTGTGAGCAGCATCGCGCCTCCCCGAAGGCTCCCGGAGGGGGCCTTCCTGCCGCTTCCTCCTGCCGGTGGTGGCCGGCTCCCTAGTGTCCTTGCCTTGGGAGCCGTCGCTCCGGACTCTGCTTCCGCCGGCACATGGCCTCCGGGTCTCTGTCCAGTTCCCCCTCGTCCTCTGAGGGCATCAGTCACTTGACTGTGGTGAGGACCCACCCGCATCCAGTGTGACCTCATCTTAACTTGGTTGCACCTGCCAAGACCCTGTTTCCAAATAAAGTCTTATTCCCAGGTGCCCGGGGTTAGTTAGGGTCCATATCTTTGGGGCGTAGGAGGCGAGGCAGAGTCCCACCCTCATCGGGGACATGAGTGACTCTCTCCTGCAGGCCAGGTACCCGGGGCGGCGGCTGCAGGAGGAGCGCTGGGGTCTGAGGCGTCTCTGGCATCTGCCGGCAGCTGGGGCTGCGGTGTAAGTGGGGCCTGGGGTGAGCTCCGGGACAGCTGGCTCCCCTGGCCCGCGCGCCTGGAGCAGCGCCAGCAGGTGGCGCTGTGACCCGGGGGCCACCCCAGCGTGGCTGTGAGTGCAGACAAAGGTCTCACCTTCCAGTTTCTAGGAGACGACACTCAACTGTAAACAGACCAGAGCACAGTCATTTCAGGGGTGACATACTCCCGAGGAGGTCAGAGGAGGCGGGGCAGGGTTAGTGCTGGCAGCCAGGGGGCCCGCGGGATGGCCTCCTGCACCTGCAGGCGAGGCTGGAGGGGCCCCT